GAATTATTTTTCCAGAACTGTACTTCCAGAATAAATATTAAAAGCTCGAGATAACGCCCAAAAAGTTAGAAATTGTGTATGCTGTTTTACACAGCGTCGATTTTCTGTTTTCCCCTAATTTCTTTTCAGTTATTTCATTCATGTAAGCCAATCAGCACTGAAGCAAAATAATCTTGAATATAATAATCCGGACAACTGTAATCGATTTTAATGAATGGGACTATGATCTTTTCCTTAAAATAAGCCTGAAGTTTTCGAGCACATTTCAGTGTCAATTTGAAATTCAAGAGTGGCGTTTGCAAAACTGAGATTTACTTTGGGCGTATTTTAAAAACTTCATATCTAGGTTTTACTGAGTACCTTTTACACTTCAAACTCTTGTTCTCCCCTCAGATAGCTCTTTTCCCTTCCTTAAAATTTAGCAAACTCTCCCCACTCCCCACTCCCCCTTACCCGTGGTGGGGTAACTGTGAGTGTAGATGTGTGTATGTGTAGGGGACTAAAATGGGGGGGGGGGGGGGGGCGTAGGAAAAAGGAGTATTTGTGGCGTTGGATAGGAGATAAGGACGTGGGGTAAGCGAGTCTGTGCAAAAGGTATAGTTGTGAGGAGAGCAATTATATGTTGCTGCGGGGAAAGGGTGGCCAACTTTCAGAAGACGCGATGCAAAAGGTTATAATAATAGCAATTGTCCTTTCTGCGATTCGCAGAGGATCTGTGAAAGGCTATCCAGGCCGTCAATTTTGCGTCTAGAACTTTCATTTCCCAAATCCATCAATCTTTGTTATCTTAGAAAAATCTTGAGGAATCTTGATCATATCTTAATGAAAATCTTGGCTGTCTTGGCAAGTTCTTGCCAAAGAGTCTTGGAAGATAACAAAGATTCTTCAAGACGATTCAAAGAATCTTGAAGAAAAAACAAGGATAGCGAAGATTTTAAAAAAAGATTTTTTGACGATTTACGAAGAATCTTAATTGATTGATTGCCCAACACTGCTTTTGAACTGAGAATCATAACAAAAACTTCATGTCAGAAATTCATGTCGAAAGATCCACTTTCTGACATCACATCAACTCGCAGGTGTATTTGCACAATTATAGAAACAGATTTCCATACTAACAACTCTAAAAAAAATGTTCAAAACATTAACTATCAAAAAAAATTTCACACAAACTTATTAATAATTTAAAACCTTCGAACACGTTGTTCGATGCAAACTTTAGACAAAGAGGAAGCATAGTTTCGCATCATTTGCAATACAGCGCAAGCAGGGTTGCGTGTTTAAAATTAACCTGATTTAAATCGATGATTCAAATCCGATTTTAATCAAAAAACAAAATTCAAAAAAATCAACTGCGCAAGTTTATTGCGTCATCCTACCGCGGTAAACAATTATATGTTCAACAAATATTCGTGTGTTCTGCTTTCGGGTGCTGAGTTAGTAATTTCACTTGAATTGAATGATTCTTGAAATAAAAACGTTTTCAATAAAAATCTAAAAAATCAAGGAAAAACAATAAAAATCGGATTCAAATCAATTAAGAATATACATCAGATTTTTATGCAACCCTGAGCGCTAGCGTGGCAATTCAAGCTGGCGCACAAAAAAAAAGAGACGGAAGTAACTAAAAAAATATAGTCCTGAGAAGCTTGACTACGGGCTTACTCTTAAATTGGCTATGAAATGTTTTTAAAAATTAAGAAATTTTTTTCGGCTGTTTTTAAAGATTGTGAATACTCTTTGAAAAATCATGAATAGTCTTGGAAACTAATTCCTCTGTTGAGCTGCCTCAGCCATCGCACACTTTTTTCAGACGTATTCATGTAGTTGGGAGGCTTAGGTACCTTGGAAAAAGCCGCAAGTATTGTAAACTTTCTTTCCCGCACCGAGCGCCCATGGATCATAATCGATTATATTAACATAATATGGTCAGCATCTATAAAATGACAAAATAATCGATTATAATGCATTAAAAATGGATTATAATCCTAAATTTTTTTATCCCAATAAAATCCTTTTTAATCGATTATAATGGATTTTTTCGAGGGCTTATTCATGAAATTTACAATTTTGTTCAAAATTATTTCATTTCCTGTTTTGTGTAGTTGCTACGTGTTATGTTTCATAAAATGTTACATTTCAGAAAAAATTTTATTTATTTTTTGTCTCTACTTTTTCTAATTCATCGCAGTTTAAAACTTCATTTTACTGTTTTTTTTACCATATAAATCGCTAAAAAAATAATCGAATTTAGTTGAAAAAATGAAATGGATTATAATCAATTATAATGGATTATAATGGATTTTCATTTCAAAATAATCAATTATAATGGATTATCTTGGCAAAAAAAAATCGATTTCAGTGACAAACATAATGGATTATTATCGATTATAATGGATTATAATGGATTATTTTTGTTCAAAAATAATCGATTATAATGGCTATATAATCAATTTCGTGGTCTGAATTTTACATCAGTAATGGATTATAATCGATTATTTTGTCTCGGGAATCCATTATAATCGATTAGAATCCATGGGTGCTCGGTGCGGGTTGCTATCTTTGATAAATCTTCAATAGTTTTCAAGATCTTGCCAACATTTCTAAGATGACTGGACTTGGGGTATTGGTTATAAATATAAAGAGAGATATTGAATGACTGAAAGATATTATTTAGATAATTGAGCAAATTGAAAAAAGTTCTCTAACAAAGATGGTTTAGATAATTGAGCTAATTGAAAAAAGTTCTCCAAAAAGATATACAGACGATAATCTTTTATAATTCACTAAAATGCATTTAAAATTTTTTCGCTTCCAAGTGATTAGAAGGTACTTGAATCCATTCCAAATTCTTTTCTCCCGGAAACATCTTTGCGGGGCTGTTTGTCATTTGGGTGGTCTCTATGATATCACTGCTAATAAGAATAAAATCAGTCTTGTTAATTGAAAAGAAGCTCGCGTTATGTTCCCAAGTGGACCATAATTTGGATCAAATGTCCCCCTACGCCACCCAGTAAATAAAACCCACCTTTATAAGTAACTAGTTCAGAGGTAAAGCAGATGCAAATTTTGTACGATTTTGTAAGATTATTTGCTACTAAAGTTCCCTAACTTTACATAAAATGATAATTCGAGACGCCTGATTGGTTTGAGCTCAAGGCGTTCTTATCTTTCATATAGTGTTCAAAACTTTAAAATCGCACTATGCCTGGGAACTAGCACAATTATTCCGCCATCATCATTTCGTTGAAAATAAAAATTTAAGTTAGTTGCTGAAAACATGTATTTCTATCTTGCTCCAATTTGTCGTAGTTGTTTGTTCGTTTGAACTACTTCAGGATCTACTTAACCATCTCCCTCCCCTTTTCAGAAAGGAGAGTGATTGTCAAGTAGATTAAGCTAGTAGAGTTTTCGACCAATCAGAATGCTGCAATAAAATTAGAAATCTCCCCGGGTTGACCTCCATAGACAAAAATAATAATCATACAATTCCATAAACTAAGTCTATGAAAAAATACTAATCGTACAAATTTCATACATTTTGCTAAAATGGTGTCATTGAATTTTCGAACAACTTTTTTCTTGTTTTGGCATAAAATTCGGTGTATCGTACTAAATAAAAAACGAAAATTTTTGTCAAAAAAAAATGCTAATCATACAATTTCCATATATGGAAAATGTATGAATAGCATTTTTTTGATGGCGACGTATTTTTGAAATTGCCCCCAAACATTTTTTTGTGTTTATTTTCAACCGCAAATTGATTTTCGTACTCAAACAAACATTTTTTGAAAAAAAATTTTTGCATGCAAAATTTAATTTTTTGTGTGTATAACGTAGTCCTGGATATACTAATATTGGATTATTTTTCCTTTTCTCTTCATAACTTTTGTCAAAAACGCTTAAAATTCCTCTTTCTTTTTCTTTTGAATGACATGTTTTTGTATGCCTTGATCAATATCTGGTAATTTAAAATTTCAAATTTAAGAAGTAATCATCTTTGAAAGTTTTTGCCAAAATTTAAAATTTCGTTACTTTCATTAGATTATTTGTGTGAGACCGAATTATAACTTTCAGGCTGTTTCATATGCATTTTTAATGCGCAACGGCCAAACCTTTGGTTACTACGTTTGTGTAACCAAGGTTGATGTCATTTGTGTTCGGTTACGAACACAACCAAAAAATTTTGAGAAATTAAACTGTAAAAAATCAATATTTTTGGTTTATGGTAAAATGCTAGTCATAAAATTTCCATATATGAAAAAAATACTAATCATAGACCTTTCATGCAATTTTCTGTACTTATGGAATTGCATGAAAAGTGTATGATTAGCATTTTTCAATATATGAAAATTGTATGACTAGCATTTTTGGTCAACCCGGGTCAATACAAAGCTCTAGTGCTAATTTATTGTATTTGTTTATAGGGGTGGATATTTTTAAGTAGATACCATAGGGGAGATTGTTAGTTAGATCCTACTACAAAGCAACATCAGAAATAAAATGAAAATATTTTTTTTCCATATCTCCTGTCTCATCAAGATTGTTAATTATTGAAATATCCAATTTATTGTTTTCAATCACCCGTATTATAATAGTAGTATCAGCCCAAATTCCAATTCAAATTTTTGCCTACTGACTTTCTTTGAAAAATGTAAAGGATCTTGTCAACTATTAACCTCATTTCAGTTTTCCGAAAACTAACTCTGGGTGCCACATTTTGAATAGCTTTAAATTTCAGATAAAATAACTAATCAAATTTCTTGAAGTTTGTCTTATATAAATAGTCAGTAATACAAAAACGAACGCCCAAAAACGAAAACCGAATTTTGAACATTTTTGAATTGCACATCCATACAGAAATGGTTGTCAAAAATAATAATGCATAGAGGAGGAAATTGTTAATAAAGTCAAAAATGGGGGAATTTGAAAAAAAAAATTGGATTTAACATAGGAGCAGTGTTGTCACTGTTTCATATTTTTTGTGTTTGCCTTTGCAGACCTTGCCACTGGGATGAGGAAGCACAACAAACACGTTGAGTCTCTACGAGATGATACACTGTTCCATGATGAGTACACAGTTCGTATAATCGGCCAGTTGCTCATTCTTCTCATTGCAGTCCCTCTGAACAGTATCGCCATCTACTCTTTCTGGGGCATACACGCAGGTGATAACAACATTAACAACTATTTCCGAATTACTGACAGTATGAATAGGCGTCAGCAAACTTTTTTATCCTAAATGAAAAACGGGGAGGTATATATAAAATTTTGAGTGAAAGGGATTGATTTTTGGTTTTTCTTACTGACTGAAGTGATGATTTCCCAGATCTCTCTAACTACAAAACGACCCAGTTTTGAAAACAGTTCCTGACGCTGGCAAATTTTCCATGAAACTGAAAAAGAATAGTTTTTAACCCTAGCCATTGCGTCCAAAATTAGTAAGCAATGACGACAAAGGCACATCGGAGTTGGTCAGCAAGAATTTGCTGTCTTGAATATTGCCTTGAATATTGACAAAGGCACATCGGAGTTGGTCAGCAAGAATTTGCTGTCTTGAATATTGCCTTTTTGATCATGATGAAAATCTAAAATTCCAAAGACAAGTCTTTAAGTATGTTCCAAAAAGTAAGTAGATTCCACTTACAAAATTTCTGTGGAATCCGCGTACAGATATTTGTAACGTAGATTTTGTCGGCATATTAGTTTGTTGCGGAGATTCTGCAACGAGCGAATATAAATAGTTTTTCCGGATTCCGCAAAGGTAAGCGGACACCGCAAAAGTAATTAAATTTCGGAAATATATGCGCCTTCTACATACAATTTACGGTGTCCACTTACAGTTTCGGATTCTGCAACCGCTTAAGTTTACTAAACACATATATTATCAATTGTTTATGGATTCCACAAACTTTTCCGGAATCCGCAAACTTTGGTGCAAATTCCACAACTTTAAGAACGGATTCCGTAAATAAGCCTGTATTTGGAGCGATTTTGGGCAACACAGAGTTTCAGCTATTTTTCCGTGGGACCCCAAAGGTAAACAAGACTGCTCGTATCAGGGCGAAGCCCTGAATGTTCCGACTGCCTTTTAAGGTTTATTGAGCAGCAGTAATACATAAAAAAAATAAATGAAATGAAATAAAATGAAATTTTTTTTCTAAAATTTTAAATTTTTAATGAAAATCATCCCCCCCACGCCATATAAATTACAAAAAAAATAGATTTCGTTCCTTGTAACAAATCAATTATGGCAAATAAGCTTCGTTCAACCAATTTGGAACGATTTATAAGACGGATTAAATCTCGTTTACGCGTTCAAAGCGCGAATTATATTGCGCGTTAATTGTCCCAAATTGGTCAAAATGGCCAAAATGGCAATCTTTAAACCCTCATAACTTTGCGAAAAATGATCACAGGTGAAATATCTTTTCAAATTTAAGCTCAGGACAACAATACTTTTTGAATGATATATGATATAAAAAAATTCCGTCAAAAATAGCTAGTTAAAAAGCCGAAATTTGTCTGAAGAAAAAAAAACCCACCCCGAGCACAAATATTCCGTTACTTTCGTATCGAAAGTCGGAACAATAAAATTACAGAAAAAAGCAATGATGCGGATTTCGCAACAATACTTGCTTTGACCTGTTGCGCACTCCGCTTACAATTCACAAAAAGCACAGATTGTCCTCGTAATGCCGCGGAAGGTATAATATTTTTGGCAGGAAAAACCAACATATCCTGACGAACCTAAAAAATAACAAAATCTTGTTCATCTTATTTTGGATTGAAAACAAAATGGTTCTTTTAAAAACCTTTAACCTTTAATTTTTTTCTCACTTTTCACTTTCAATTCAGGGCAAATTAATTTTCGATGTAACAAAATAATCTTATCAGAAGGAAGTTTGTTCCCTTTTGTTCAAGAAATTGCGCCCAAAATTATTGGTCCCTTTTGGTCCCTTTTGTTCTCATCACAATTTTTGTCCATTATGGAGAAGTATTTGCCCGATATTCTATATATGAAGCGTATGATTTAACCTTGAATTATTTTTGTTTGAAAATCATTTGAACATTCCCTCAATGGTTTTTAGAGCCGAATGAATTCGGTCATTGTTGTGCATTAAACAATAACTTTCAATTCATTTTAACAACGTATTTTAACCTAATGTTAAATTAGATGGCTAACCACTTCTTTACTAGTTTTTTGTACTAATCATGGTTTGAAAGCTATCTTATTTTTATTGGCAATTCTACCCTTTTAAACCGAATTTCTGTCAAAACTAGTCATAGTATAAAAGCCAGCCTAACTTCCGTCTTATGTTTATAATTTAACAATTTAGCTTAATTCCAAATTTGAAATGACGCAAACAAACGAGTTGGATTAACGTTAATTAGAACTTTTCTATTTCAGTATATTAAACGAAACCATCAAATTTCTTTGAGGGTGTCCAGTAAGTTTCAACGAACAGTTATAATAAAGGGTTCAGTCGATATCAAAGATGTTATCAAGCTTACGGTCAAAAATGAACTAATCTATTCACAACACCAATCATCGGAAGCGCCGAGGAAAAAACCATCTCACTTCAAGGGAAGAATGAATCAAACAAGACTGCTCGTATCAAGGCGAAGCCTTGAACGTTCCGGCTGCCTTTTAAGGTTTATGGAGCAGTAATAACACTAAAAATTTCAATTTTTAGAAGAAAAAAAATTTAATTTAATTTTTTTTTTACATTAAATTTTTTTTAAATAAAAATCATCCCCCCACTAGCCATATAAAATACAAAAGGATGGATTTTGCTCCTTGTAACAAAACAATTATGGCAAATAAGCTTCTTTCAAGCAATTTGGAACGATTTTAAGACGGATTAACTCTACGCTTACGCGTTAATAGCGCGAAATATATCGCGCGTTAATTGTCCCAAATTGGCCAAAATGGCAATCTTTAAACCCCCGTAACTTTACGAAAAATGATCACAGGTGAAATATCTTTTCAAATTTGAGCTCAAGACAACAATACCTTTTGAATGATAAAAAAAATTCCGTCAAAAATGGCTAGTTAAAAAGTCGAAATTTGTCTGAAGAAAAAAAAAACCCACCCCGAGCACAAATATTCCGTTACTTTCGTATCGAAAGTCGGAACAGTTACTTGGACTAATAATTCCGACGGGACATCCCTCGGTCGGGACAAATACGAATTTGAAGTAAGGATGGGGGACTTTTTAGTTTTTGCTATTAATAAAAATAATGAACGGAACCTTATTAGAAACCGCATAGAAAGAGGAGTTAGAGCAATTTGCTCAAACGAAAAAAGCTGAAGAAAACAATCATTGTAGCAATTGAGAACTATATAGCAATTGCGTCCTGTATAACTTATGAAAAAGACCTCCGCGAACTCAAAATAACTGATCGATTCCTGAATTTTAAAATCGTAAACAAACTTATCAAGAAGGCTCAGGTAGTGTTATTTTTTGGAGGACGATCAAAATCATTGGAAATTACTGGTGAGATTTTAATTGAAAAGTTGGATTGCGAGAAATCAGAAACTGCACATTTTTGAAAGGGCTGAAAAAACTTGCTGAGAAACAGCATCTTGCTGTGTAGGCATCTGGGAGTCTGTGAACAACGGCATCTGGAAATCAAATATTCTCAACACAGCTGGCACCATCAACATAAACTGAATCTCGGACAATCGCAAAAAAATCCTCACAGGCCGTCAAGACAGCCGCACAAAATCAAATTCGAGTCTGATATCTGTACAGCCACAGGCTCTGAAACACAAAAGCGAAGTGAGTTTAAATTTTTTATGCGAAGCGTATTCAAAAAATCCAGAATCCGTAGACAAGATTAACTGTGTAAATACCTATCTATTTTAACGACCAATCAAAACCAATTCAAATAAGAGAAAAACGCAATCTCATTCACTTACTTCCAATTTTTAGCCAATGTATTGACTAACAATTTCGGAAAAATCACATCAAAAAAATTAGCTAGATGTTCAAAGGATTGATTTACATCTCCAATCGTTATTTTCACAATAAAAGATAGGTAGATTAAACTGGCTCTAATCTCTAAAACGTTGAAAAAACAAAAATAATGTATCAAAAGCTTAACTTGCTTGAACTGATTGATATTGAGGTATTGAAAATCTGGATTTTTGTTCAATGAGTTAAATTATCCTTACAGCAAATGCTTCTCGCAAGAAAGAAATTTGTAACAAAGCTAAGACCCACCATTTCGCTGCTAAGCTTAAAACGACTATAAAATGTGACGCTTCACATCTGGCGTCAAGAGTGCTCCTAAAACAGGACCAGAGGAGAAATTGAAAGACAGTAGCCGTTGCTTGTAATTTTTTAAACGTTGCAAATTAAAGTTTGTCACGAATGAGCTTCAACTAATGGGAGCAGCTAGTTTGAATTGGACGTTTTAAATTTGTTATCTGGGCCAAAATTTTTCGTTTCACACATAAAAAAATTTAATAGGGTCCTCAGGAGGCGATAAAACACGTTTAAGGCACAATCTTGCCTAAAATGTTGGGTTGACAGGCTTTTGCTTAATGTTTTTACCGTTTTACCACGTAAAGAAATAGGATTTGTGGACTAAATTTGAAGACACCCAATAAGTGAGCCCGTACCAGTCGCAATTTATGATCCAAATTTCATTATCGCATTTGTGAACCATATTAGAGTTTTTTCGTTATAAAACAAGTAGAAACGAATGATATCAAAGACTGCAATCTGACTGGTCGAAATCAGAGCAAACAAACATCAAGCAAACTTGGAAATAAGAGTTGAATTAGGAATACTGCAGACTTTTTGTTAGCTTATGGCACTCGGTCTAAAACTTCACTCGCGTACAGAATATTGGTTTCCATCCTGCAAAACGTTAGGTTTCTTAATTTTGTAATTTTAAAGAAAAAGTTCGATTGAATTGAACGAATAGAACTGAGTATTTGTCGAGTATGCTCTCCCCGCTGCTATCCCCGTTGCAGATAAAACTTCAGTAACGACCTTGAATCCAAATTCAGAACCAGCTTTGAGCCGTTTATCGGTAAATCAATAAGTGTCTTGATTCTCCTGGCGGAGATTTTTAATACAAGGTTCAGGTCCCTTCTCCCCAAACAAGAATTAGTCTCGAAAATATAAAAAAATTATCGACGCAGGAAGAAAAC